CAGGTTTACCTTTAGACAGAAGGTAAAGCCAACCATGACCAATTGTTTGCAGGAGCTGGAAGGCAGCCCAAGTCCCACCACAGGCCTCAGTAACCATTCAAAACATAGTATGTATTACTTTAATTCTTTGCTAACAAATATAGCTGCAGTATGCTCGTGTTCTGTAGCAGAAGGCAAAAATGCACCTTCTTCCTTTCCATGGCAAGTCTACAATTACTGCCTGCAGAAATCTGCCCTAGCAGGTCACCTCAAGTAACAAAACCATATACACTCAGCTGAGACCCAGTCATTTCCAGAGGAGAAAACAGCTCCTCTTTCAAAACAGCACAGCAACAGCAGGCATTCTTTTTTTGGCTGAGAGATAAGGAAAATCAAATCCAACTGAAACAAGCGTGTATCTGTTACAGCCAGATTTTTACTAACCATCTGATCTGCTGCTCAGCAGAAATGCTTTTTACTGTTACAGAATTCTGCACAGTACATTCCCCCCTGCCTTTCATCACCCAGTAACATGAAGTTCCAGTACAGTGAAACACGACACAAACAGGAGATGAAATTGCTGGGAACTAATCCAGGCTTGGCTGTTACATCATTCCAGTTCTTTGTGTTGAATGTCTGCTTCTCCAGGGTGCCTTTTATCCTGGTTATATTACAAAGTATCGCCTAGACAATAAACCTCCATCTCTTTCTCCTAAAGGACTATTGCTTGAGAGATGTTCTCAGCCTACTGAGCTGTAAAATTAAATTGAATTAAATCCTGACCCAAAGAGCAACAGGCTCTTACCATCTCAGAAAATTAGAGGCTAACACTAGATTCTGCCATGAGAGATGGCAAATTCAGAAAATTGAGGGCTAAAAGTAGAGGCAGCAAATTCAGAATGCTGGGCACTGCTAAGATTGGATGGACAGTGCAAGCAGATGCACACCAAAATGACTCATCAGGGAGAGAGAACAGGTCAAAACACAGTCAGCAGTACTCCATAATGCTGCCTGAGATCTGGAACTGTTACAAATCCTAGCAATCATCAGGTACAGAAAGACAAAGGTTGCTCTATGTGTGACTGTACTCCTTCCAAGCTGACCAGGGCTCCTGGGACAGAAGACTGCATCCATCAAAAGCCAAGCTTCCTAAAGAAGGCTCTGGGGCCACATCTTATAACACAGAGAACACCATGGACACACAGTGTCCCCAGACACTTCTCTCTCTCTCTCTGCTACAACACATTTCGACATAGAACTATCTGGATTTTTGCTGCTTAATGTTATAATAAATACTACCTTCTGTCAATATCCCAGATATATCCAGAATAACAATGCTTAGTCTTCCTATGGTATCAGTAGCTGAGTGCTGTGAGTATTCCAAATTTTCAAATTGCATTTTCTTTCTTCAACTTCCAGGGAACACAAAGAATACTTGAGATAATAAAAACAGTGAAAAATCAGTCATACCTGGCAAGGAATTGCTGCACCCCATTCCTGCTGGACAATATTGCAAACCCCAAGTAGTGCTGACTCTAAGCAGGTTTTGTCATAATCATCCATATTACTTAGGGCTTCCTGTAAAGACAAACAAGTGATTGGTCATTGCTGAGTAAAATATCTCTAATGGGAAACGTAAAAAGTTATTCCCAGCTCTCTGCTAAGTCAGTATTTTTGCCTTGGTTTGTAACACAGCTGCACTGCAAAACAATACAAAGTGCTGTGTTCTTACACACGACCTGCACAGTTAAAAAAAACAAACAGTGGACAGTATCTTGAGAAAACTACGATGGCTGACTTTGAAGGAACTAATAATTGTGAACACACGTCTTAGGGATAAAATAAAAAGCCTCAAAGAAACAGGACAGTTGGAAACTGAAGCGATGTCTAACAAAGTATTTATTTCCAGTTCTATTCCAACACTTAAGGAACAGTAACTGCTTGCATTCTGGAAAACCATTACAATGAAAAAACTCCAAACACAATGCAAACCACCACGTTATCTCACAAAACGAGCTTTATTTCTTTTCTGCACAAGGCCTCATTAATGAGACCATGAAGACACGACACTTCAGAGTGTACTGGCCTCACCAAACAGCCCTAAGGAATCTAGCTCTATAAATCCTTCCAGGAGTCAGAACAACTCTAACTTCTAAGAGATCCAGAAAGCAGGCCACAAAGCTTGTCTAACACTCTAGTGGAGAGAAACAGAAATCACAACTCCTATCACCGTTCTGTTTCTATAACCACAAATAGGCTTTTCTTCTTAAAATGAAAACTTCACATTGAACACAACAGCGTAAGAAGAGTGCAGCTGTAAAACGTGCTGCCTTGTGCCAGCAATCTACCATTACTTGTTGACAGTATACACAGTAACCAGGTATGTATCATTTTGAGCTGACTCAGAGACATCTGGTGCCTCACAGCATTCATACAAAATGTCCCTCTCAGGCTCCTTCCACAGTGCCCCTACTGCCTCTCACATCTTCCCAGCCTGAAATCACTTTATCCTCTTTCTCACTCATTTCACCTTACTGTTACTTACTCATTTCACATATTGTTAAAAGCATCTTCACTCTACCAAATCACCTGACTCAAAAACATTTCAGATGTTCCTGTCTGCTGCCTCCTATATCAAGAGTAAATCAACAAGTACAGAGGAAAGCACGAATGTCACAGAACCACTGCTGTATACACAAGCTTCCTAAGGCAGCCCTCTCCTCCAGGTTTTCTCCATCCCCGCTTTTAACTTAATTAACCACGCTTGAAACATCAAACCTGCAAAGGCATAACTTGTAAAATAACAAGCATTTTATCTTCATTTTAAGGATAGGTGAAAGCAAACAAGGATAAAACACTCCATTAAGACACCATGGACAGGACAGTAGGAAATCACATCATTCCACTGTAATTCTGAAACAACACCGACAACTGATTGCTCAGGTTCCACAAACCCTACCTGCAGCGTGTTGTAATCTCTGGTGAAGGGCACCATCAGCTCCCAAAGCGACGAGAACACCACCAGGGCTGTGAACTCCAGCTTGTAGTTGGTGGCCATGTGCTCGAACAGCATGGTCAGGCCGTGCACTGCCAGGTGCTTTCGCTGGTACTCCTCAGAGCCCTCCACCGACACGGGCCGAGTCATGGAGAGCGACACGTCCATCACCACCACCGTCGGCATGATGAGCCGTTCTGCTCAGCCACCACAGCACAAAACAGAGATTCACTGAGAGAAGGGAGAAAAAGACCACAGACGGTTACTGGAACGCAGCCGCAATGGCACACGTTGCCCTGGCCTTGTCAGGATGGCCCCATACCCGCCCTCTCCTCTGAAGAAAGGAAAGCTACAGCAGTTTTACCCCCAAAACGCGGGTTTCGCACAAACTAAACCAGCAGATGAACGGGAAGCACACGGTCCGGGTGGCTGCGAGGCCCTGCAAGCGGTGTGCTAAGCCTGGGGGGCAGCAGGGGCAGCCCGCGGCCGGGGACAACCCCAGCCCCCGGCAGGCTCTCTCCACACAGCCCACCCGCTCCCAACCCGGCTATCTGGCGGGGCTGAGAGGGCAGCGCGGCCGCCGTCCCCGCAGCACCGTGAGGCACGGCGGCGCTCACCGCAGCGCGCCGGGCCGCCATGAGTCCGCCGCGATAAGCGTCCCCCGGAACGGCGGAGCGCGGCGGGAAGGGGCCGGGCTGCACGGCCGCTCCTCACGGCTCCCAGCCGGCTCCTCGCACGCCTCAAGCGGTGGAGAGGAAGGCCAGGCGCAGCCCGCAGCCCCTTCGGGACCCGGCGGTGGTCAGTGGGTTCCAGTCCCGCATTTGTAGAACCCAGCAGCAAAGCAATCCCACAAACACCTCACCGTTAATTCCTACAAATCCCGCAGCCCCGTGTTTGAAACGTTACCAGCCCCACTCCTCTCGTGGCAGACAAAGCGAGGTGTTCGGTGTCCCAAGTAAGGCCTCAACACAGCTCGCTCTGAGGAAGAACTGCAGGGTCAGCACCCAAACACACAGCCCAGAAGAATCGTATGCTGCTGCCTGGAGGAGATCTGCAAGCACACGCAAAGCCCAACAGAGACAGGGAAGGTGAGGAAGGGAAAAGCGTGCTCTAAAGAGATGTTGGTGAGACAAGGAGGGCAAGGAGACATGGCCCCTCATACCGAGGGATTGCAGAGGTGGAAGCACCATGAGGAAGAGCTGTTCCCTCGCCAGATGTCAGAAGGTCGATGGGATCACACTGGGCCCAACTCATCCCAATGCTGTTTGAAACACTTGTCTGAGTTCCGTACTGCTAATAGCTCAGGTCCAAAAGGGACTGCAGACACTCATGTCGGGCCCTTATGGAGAGAAACTGCAAGTGGATACTTCTGTGGGACTAAAGCAGACTGAACAGAAATGTGCTTTCAGAATTCAAACGCGGTCAGAAGGAATTAAAACCAGAACTAAGCGCAGAAATGGAGCATTCCCAGTATTGAGGATGAGAACTGCTTGTGTAGGTCTCCCACAAGTACCCAAGGAACAGCCAGCACCTCCTGGTGACTTCACAGTGAACTTCAGGGAAGATTAGAAAGCCCTGCTGCAGCACATGTTACAGGTGGCAAAATGGATCAAAGAAGTGACCAAAACCTTAAATGCACTCATCCAGAAGCTTTTTTCCCCCTAAAAAAACAAAACAAAACAACAAACCTTCATCAAATACATCGATTGCAGAAAGCAACCTGCAATAAGGACTTGTGAAGCTCAACATAATTTGTAAGTGCTGGTTTCAGTAGTCCTCTCCAAGAAGAATTCCCCAATAAACATGAATAAATAAGTGCAATAGGAGGAGAAAATAACCAAGGGGAAAGAAGCAGCCATAGGAACATGGCCCACTAGGAGTCCTGTAAGCAGCATATGGTGCCTGAGCTGCACCAGAAACTCAAGGCATTTGGCACAATTGGAATAATAGTATCTTCATCAGTAAATCAGGAACCATCTATAATTTGATGCCAGTACTGTGGAAGAGTACTGCAACGATTAAAAAAGATAGCTGTGTATAGAGAATAGGTTATGAAAAAAGCATCCCCGGGGCTCAGGGACCTCCTTCTTCCATTCCAGAAAATACAGAGTAAGGATGAGGTATCAGTGACATCTATTGCAAAGTCTGAGTGTACTGCTGCTGTTCAGAAAACAGCTTGCTTCTCTGCGTTTTCCAGTTCCCCTGCAATAAATGTACTGATTGGAGCTATATGACCATGAAGTCTTTGGCAAGGAGCACGACTGTGCCAGCAAAAGTGGCCTCAGCAGAAATGCTCGTCCAGCCTGTCAGAGCAAAGCTGTGTGCAAGTTGTCTTGAAGCAACTACTGCAGCACACGAAGGAGCAATGTGAATTATCCAAGCAGTGGCCTGCTCCTGTCCATAGCTAATGGTACATATCTCAGAGTTGATGCTTTTATATTATAGTTTGTAATGGAAATAAGCTCCTGCCCTCATACTGAGAATAATCTGTAGTAGTAGACGAAGATACTGGCTTCAGATATAGATCCAAATCTATACAATACTCCTTAATCTTCTTAGAGACTGGAGGTATTAAAGTGGATTGGCTATTCCTCCACTAATATGTCCTTCACACCTGACCCCCCTCACCACTCTGCTAGCAGAAGCACAGCGAAAATGGGATCATTTTCATCTGCCTCTCTCTGCATCAACATCTCCCAATGTTAAGTGACAAGAAAGCTTCCAGAATTCCATTCAACTGCTGGTATTCCTCATCTTCTTGGACAGCATCTCTGGAAGGTAAGCCATGGAGGTCTGTAGGATTGCTTGAGATCTTTTTGACTGAGACAGTCCAACCAGTGAGAAAAGAGCTGACTGGGAGCTGACCTGTAGGAGACAATATAGTTCAAAAACAAAGTGCTTTATCCACAAGGCTGACGGTCAGATAGCGCTGAAAGGCTGGGGAGCTCTTAACAGTTCATCCTACCTTTGGTTATAGTCTTTGAAGAAGGTTTAAACAGGGGGATGCATTCACAAGTCTCCCGTTCTCTGTGCGTCTTTCTTTTCACTCTTCCATTTTATTTATGGAAGGTTACTCTGTATCAATGCTCAATTTGTGGTGAATACTGTATTACACAACTCTGCAATATGCACGTTAATGTATTTTTTGCATATCAAAAGCAAAGCTTATGTGATCTATTTATCTAGATACTCCCATGACCCTCAATTACTATTGCCTTAGTGATCCTCCCTATTTAAAAGAAGATAATAATGCCTGTCTTGCAAGAAATTTAGGCTGATTACTTCACTGAGTGTTATGCAAGAGGGTAAGTGAGAACTGATTTGCATGAAAAGCTTTCCTGAGAATGGCTTACAAAACTTCGATTCACATCCAGCTGAAGGATAACAACATTACCACTCTAGGGAAAAAAAAATAATCCATGAAGAGTGAAATTCTAAGGTAAAAAATCAAAGCAGTGCTGAAGGGTAAATTCCGTCCACCCCACTGCCTCTGTACTATCACAGATCTAGGCTCTATCACTAGCATTTATAATTTGTCTCTTTCAAAATGCTGTTCAAATAGTTATGCAAGATATGCTAATTATCCCCTAATAAAAGGTATGATTATAATTCCACTTTGCCAGTTCTGCTTCTACAGAAGGGCTCGAAAAGATGTAGTCATAGAAACAACATGAATGCACAGCACTCTGAGTATTACTAGAACCAAGCCTTCCTCTTGCTCTCTTCCAACTGGAAGAGGAAAGCTCACAATTTGCTTGGTTTGTGGGAGTGCAAGTCTGGAGAGCCAGAGAGCAGCATAACTGGGTAGTAGCAAACAGTTTCCATCCACCTGTTGAGGTTACTGAGGTGAATAACTGGTCTGTTTGGTAGGAAGTTTTACAGCATAGGCTCATCTTCAGAGCTTCTTCATTTCTGGCAATTTTGAGTACAAGTAGGCTCCTTAACAGAAGCCTTATCCTCCCTCCTGCATAAAGTTCATCCGATTATCAGCATTACAGAATTACCAGTGATTCCACTGAAAACACTAACCTTAATAGCTGCTGGATGTGATCATTAGGTGGAATCAGAATTCAGCTCAGATTGGACCATCTCAGCCTTATAGCCTCCCATCATTAAAAAAATGAAAAAACAAAAGCCTGAACTTAGAGTTGAGATTATTTGAACTGAATCCCATTTCCATTTATGGAGAAATAGAAAATCACTCTGCAAGATAATGATGGGAAGTTGCAGTTTTTGTTTGTTTTTAAATGCTAGATCTTCCTTTACAGGATTCTACACTTCATATCACCCAGTTTCACTCCTGATGCTTAAGATCAGTTAGAAGCTCCAATGGTGGCTATAAGGGCAAGCTGCTGATCAAGAGAAGTCTTCAGTCTTTCTGATTTTTGAACCTTTAGGAAATGCATTTACCACGGAGAAGACGGCTACAACGGAACCGAATCTTTTTCTTCCTTGCCACAGTGTCCCTCCTCTCTGTCTATCAGCTCCAATTCAGCCCCTCTGCCATTCCAGCACTTCTCACTGCACACCAACACGAGGACCCTGTGAAAGTGACCTCCAGGGAGCCTTCCCGCAACAAGACTTCCAAAACCAGCAATGTCACAGCAGCACCCAAAATAAGGCACTGTGTGTATATTGATCCTGAGCCAACTGTGCCCATCGCCGCAGCAGAGGATACAACACAGCGAGAAAACGTCAGTGAAAGCTACCCAGGTGAAAAGCCCGTGTATGAATCCAAAGGAGAATATCCCCAGGACCTATTCAGTGTGGAAGAACGGAGGCAAGGGTGGGTTGTACTTCACATCTTTGGCATGATGTATGTATTTGTGGCCTTGGCCATAGTGTGTGATGAGTATTTTGTCCCTGCTTTGGGAGTGATCACAGAGAAGTTGCAGATCTCTGAAGACGTGGCTGGAGCCACCTTCATGGCAGCAGGTGGATCCGCACCAGAACTCTTCACCTCCCTCATAGGTGTCTTCATCTCACACAGCAATGTGGGCATCGGTACCATTGTGGGCTCAGCGGTGTTTAATATCCTCTTTGTCATTGGCACCTGTGCCCTCTTCTCAAGGGAGATACTACACCTGACATGGTGGCCTTTATTTAGAGACATCTCATTCTACATTGTAGACTTACTGATGCTCATCCTGTTTTTCCTAGACAGTGTCATTGATTGGTGGGAAAGCCTCCTTTTACTGACTGCCTATGCCACATATGTGTTCACCATGAAACACAACGTGTCTCTAGAGCAATGGGTGAAGGAGGAGCTGAGCAAGAAGCTAAATGCTGTGCAGGCAGCATCAGCAGAGCATATGCGAAAGGTTGGTGTCCTTATTGTTCAAAGGGCAAGTTGGAAATAATTAATCCTATCATAAATCACAAAAAAAACAGACTGCATCTTCTTCACAAAGTGCATACTCAAGTCCTCAGGATGTAGACACTGGCTAATAATTATCATATAAAATGAAGGAAATACAATCTAGACAATAGAGATTCTAATCAATTAGAGAGAACACTACTAAATGCCCTAGGAATTATTAAACATATGTGTTCGGGTCATTTAGCATCTTCCAAACACAGACATGAGATTTTGCTCACTTAGTGGTTATGAAGGAATTAAAAAGGACACATACACACTTTCAGGAACAAGTCAGTCTGAAAACATGATTGGACAATACTCAAACAGGAGAAAAAAAAAAAAGGCTTCTGTAATGGGCAATCTCCAAGCCTCTTGTGGATGAGGGATGGTGGAAGAAACTCTTTTCCCATTTTGAGTTCAGGTGTGTTACTGTGATGCTGGTGGTATCACTTGTTACCAGTCTGCAGCAGAGAAAGGGATCTGGCAGCCTTCCACAGCCATTGCCACTGCTCCCAGTCAGCATTCAGTCACAGGATCGAAATGCCCAAGTCCTGTTTCTATGTATTAACCACAGCTGTGTCAGAGACACAATTCTTTATGCTCCTGGTGCACAGACAAGAAGGTCTGTGGCTGTAATTACTTTCTCAAAGTTTGAGACCAGGGCCCTTTGCTCACCATCTTTTGAAGGAAGACACGATTGCCTACAAAAGGACAGCATCTGAAGGCTGTTGCCAGAGCCAGTTACCCTTTCAATCTGGTAGATCTGGTCAGGACATGTGGGCCAGAGCACTTGGAATCTGAATCTGCCTGTTCAATTCCTCCCCCTCAGCCGTTCCTCCTTCTCCTGCTGCCACTTAATTCTCTTGGCTGTACTACTGCCAGATGTGGAGCAGACTGTTAGATGTAAAGCTGTTCTCTGGCACTGGCACGCTTTACCGTTCAGATGTGTCTCACTGGCATTCAAACATGTTTTGTCCCTTCTGGTCTTGGCACTCTCTTCATATAATTTAACGAATTAAGGAGAGGAAGGAAAAGTGGTAAAGATAATTGAAGGCACACAAAATTAAGAGTCTTTTTTCCCCTCCTGTTAGTCTGCCTTTCAGCCAGGGTTCATGGCTTGGAGTCCTTAAAGCCCACAGCCGTGCTGCACCACTGTCTATCACCAATCCTAAAGACGTAAGCCCATCCCTTTAGACTCAAAGAAAAAACAAAATTCTTGCCTTTTAAGCCTACAAAGAATTCACATTAGGATATAATGGCATGACATACTGCTGCTGGAAATAACCCCTGGAGAAAATAAAGTGCTTTTATGGAAAGTGATGCTAATCACTAGAAGACAACACATCTTTCTGTTTTCACTCTGCCTTTGAGAGAAGATAAGTCAGGATGCAGATGTCTGGGGATGAAATCTGTGGCTGTGTACATCTACAAGGAACAGGAGGTAGAGGAACATTTCTGTTTCTGGATAGCTACATCCTCACTGAGTGGTTGCAGGCAGAATCCCACTTCCCTCAGAGGCTGTGTTGGTTTAGGGAAAGCACACAGCTTTGGCACTTTCAGTAGTGTTCGTGCATAGTCGTTTCTTTTGATTGTGCCACCTTCAATTCAGGCATTAGTCTGAAGAGCCCCATAGATCCCAAAAGAGCAGGTGAAGTGGTAATGGCATTCAAAGGCTTTCATTCTTTTTTACACACAGAAAAGCAGTGTGGCAGCTGCAGAGGATGGAACAACGCCAGCAGATGGGAAGAAGCTGCAGGTAGGTCTAGGCAACTTAGCCAGGATAATAAGTCATATTTTGAACCCCTCCCTGTGTCAGGCTTTGAACAACAGTGTTGTCTTCTGTGTCAAGAAACCTGGACTAAATCCTATTTCATGCAGAGAACCAGCAGTTCTTGGCACAGTACTCACAGTTTGATTAAGAAGACACCTGGCTGAGTTGGGTCCTCAAAGGAATTTTAAAACAACTAAGAGACAGACTGCCCAAGTGGTAATTGACTAGCAGAGTGCTGTTAGTACTACATTTTAAACAGGGTGAAACAGACAGAGGAGAATTCAGATCATAGCTTTTCTTACCTGCTTTCATGGCTGATTTTCCTCCCAGGCTCTCAGGGCAGAGGTAGTGTCTGTTCTTCCCTATAGCAAGAGAGCCAATTGCTCTGCTCTGCTCCTGATTGAATTCCTGCCACTTTGTCCTTCCTTGGCTGGCCAGTCACTGCATTCAGTGATCCATTGGCTGCACATGTACATAACAAAACAGGTGTTAGCTTCCTCATGGGGATGCTATTTGTTCCTCTGTGCATTTAACCTACCTGTACTAATTAATGTTCAGTCAAAAGCCCATTAGGACTGTAGTATTGACAGTAAAAATAGAGCTTGAGAGCCTTCAATTTAAGTTAGGACATTTGAAACCACTGTAGTGTACCTTGGAGCAGCATACAAATCTATTATTATCAATTATTACTATTAATTATGACTAAAATCACTGCATACTTTATTACAATCATAACATTGTACTGATGCTGAGTCAGTGAAAACTCACTGCATCAAAGGACAGCCTGGCCCATTATCTCAGGAGCATGTATCTTGCTATGAGCAGCTGGTACCGACAGCCATCCTGAGAACCTGCATGCAGGTATCTGAAATCCAAGGTGCACTGGGGAGATCAGCCTCTGCATGAATGCATCCCCTGTGCAGAGGGAACCAACAGTGAAGATGCTTGGAGGAGGAAATGGCTACTGATTGTTGCATTGTACCTTTCCATAGCCAACAACAGCCTTACAGCGAGGCAGCAGCTCGGCCTCCCTGCACAACTCTCAAATGCGCAGCACCATCTTCCAACTCATGATCCACACACTGGACCCCCTGGCAGGAGGTGAGTGAATGCTCCACCTGTGAGGGGCTTCATCTTAGAGCCTCTATCACAGAGCAGCTTAATGGAGGCATGTCTTTCGCTGGTGGAAGGCAGCATCACTGAACATAGAGAGGTGGAATCGGCTTTCTATCAGGGCTTTCCATCTGACAGCCCTTCAGGAAAGGGTTGGCTCAACATATCAGCCTCATTTAAAATTGGGAAATTCACATGGGAGGAGCCCCTTACCTGTGCATTTCCTCAGCTGTACACAAGTCCCTCACAAGGCATAAACCTGAAGAAGAGGAAAAAGTAGTCAAAACCTTGAAAAATTATCTTTCGGATGGTGATTAAAATCCCAGGTGAAATTTAAAACACACAGCAGGTTCCAATTATGATGGTTAAAGTAACTTGTGTGTGACTTGGAGGACTTCTGGACTTTGGAAGGACTCCACTTCTGAGGACTTCTAAATGCCCACTTGCAACACCACATTGCATTATCACTGCCATAGCAAACTGTACCCTGTTTCAGAATGTGATTAAGTAGAATAGAATAGAGTAGTTCAGGTGGAAGGAACCTTTAAAGATCATCTGGTCCAACTGAATAATTTCTTCAGGGCTAGCCAGAAGTCAAAGCATATCAACGAGGGCACTGTCCAAACATCTCTTGAATGCTGACAGGCATGGGGCATTGCCCACCTCTGTAAGAAGCCTGTTCCAGTATTTGACCAAAGGTAAGTGAAAGGTATCCTTGCCCTCAGAACAGAGAATGGAACTGGGTGATCTTTAAAGTCCTTTCCAACCAATCCAAACCATCCTGTGTTGTTACTCACAGTACTTTGAAGGCAGTGGGCCAACTCCACAGGGCCTAAAGGCTGGAGCTCAGGACTATTTCATACCTTCTAAACAGTCCAGGTTGCAGGAAGCCACATCTCCAGAGATGTGTGTGCCTTTGAACACAGTTTTCTAATACTCTGCCTTGTTTCACTTTCCAAGAAATTCTAAAGAAAGTTTAAAAATGAAAAAGAGAAGCTTTTTTTTTTTTAGATTTTTCCTTCCTAGCTCAGCACATGCCTTGCCCCTCCACTGCCCTACTTGTTCTAAAGAGATTATCATTTGTCCATTCAAAGGGAGATTGAAGCTAAGCAGATAAACACCTCTCATGTCTATCAGTGAGGTTACAAAAAGGACTCTCCAGATCAAAATCCCAGTAGCACAAACTGATTGAGGGAACTAAAGAGGTTTTATAAGGACAACAAGACAAGTAAGTGTTCCCTTCGACAAACTTTTAGTAATAGCACCCATCAAATTACTAACCATAGCCTAACAAGAGCTAAATTCATCAGGGTTTGCTGTAGTGCTTCCTGCTCCCCACAGAATATTGTATCAACACATTGTATATTGTATCAGCACATGGATAAAACCAGAAATCTATGAGAGACTTGCCACTTGATTCAGCATCATGCAGTGCCAGACCTGAGGGACTGCTGCCACCAAGAGAACTTCTGACTCCTCATCCTTCTTTCATGCCTTGGTACAGGCTGGTGTCCTCAGTTTTGTGTGACTCCCAGCAGGAATCCTTCGGGCCCAGGCCAAGGAGAGAACCACAGCGCTGCCCCAAGCAGCTCAGCACAGAGCACATGGTGGGGGCTTTTCGTTACCACAGTCTGTAAGAATGGATAACTGTGACTGAGGGGCGGCTGGGATGCTGTCTTTAAAGGAGAGCTTCGCCTTTGCTTTTATCCAGGCAGACTTTGAGTTCCTGTCTGTGTGCCGCAGCCACTAGATGGGAGTGTGATCTTATACACTTAGGCAAGTCTAAGGGCAACAGTGAGGATGGCTTTCAGTCTCTCCAGAAGGTTGTTATTCCTTAGACTCTTTGCTATAATAATGACACAGAGTTAACCTCTGCTCTGGGTGCGTGCCTGCTCTACTCAGCACTGCTGGAGCAGAAACAGCTCCTTGGAAAAGATAATTGTGAAGAAAATTATTGATATTACAACAGCACAGCACTTGAAATCAAAGACCCAGAGTTCCAGGTACTTTGTATTGTGCAGGAGACGCTCCTTGCCCTGGTAGATTCAGAACTAAAGAAAAGGTAGTCTGGAGAAAAAGAATCAGTTCTGACTGAGCCACTGAAGTGCTTTGAGGATCCCTGCCAAAAAGATGAAGAGATTTCCCCAAGGTAACTGAAAAGGATGTGAGCCTACCAAGGCGTTTTACAGCTGCAAACCCAGCCTTGGATTTAATATCACTGCTGCCCTTCAATATCCTCAGGACAACTGGTTCCCACCCATAAAGTCCTTCTTTTTGCAGCACATAGCACTATCTGTAATTAGGTTGCAGCATAAAAACAACCCCAAAGAAGTCTGTATCCTCAAGGATCCTTGTTGCTTCTTGCCAAAGCCTATAGCATCATGCACTTAGAGGCTACACTAAAGAACACTACAAAAGATTGCCAACTATCTCTCAGCAGTTCCTGACTTAACCTAGTGCAGGTAGGATCTCCGGGGAGCTTCCTTCCTTATGCTGCAGTTGCCTTGTACTTCAGCTGCACAGAAGCTGCTTCAAAGCAGCCAGAGCTCTAAAGTTTGTGTCAGACTGACAGCACCAGGCCTGCCAAACCAACTTAGAGTCGAGGATCTTAGAGATGAAGTAAAGTCTGAAATATAAACTTTGTTTCGCTGTTCCTGGTTCAACACCCCTTCTGAAACAAAATTTCTCACTTGAACAATGGATTAATTAATGTTTGATTTTTATTTATTTAGTATTAAGAAAGGATCATAATTTAAGTCTTTTTCTGTGTCTGGAGGAGACGAGGCATTTTAACTGACCAGGTGCTTTAGAAGTTTGAACACTTACACTGCATTCTGAAGTGTATTTTTGGCAGAAGCCCATCTTTTCACACTACCTTTCTTAAAATGAGGAACTTCTAGCAACTTCAGACTTTTCCTCACTTTCTCAGACGCTGTGTAGAAGCACAGTATGAGGCCTTTTCAAGATCTCCCAAGCTAGACACCAGAGGGAACTGCTGAGGAGTTAAAAGCAGCAAGGATTTTTGGAAGACCAAGGAATCATTTCTGAACCCCATGTTTTACCATGAGGTTATTCTTTGTGCTCTAGTCATACAGACAGGGGACAAATCTGATTTTACTTTTATATGAAGGCAAAGGATCCAGCAGCAAGGTTATCACAGCTGCTCTATCACTATGTCCCAGTTAAAGAGCTATTAATTTTGGAAATCAGACCAGAATAAAGCAGCAAGCAGTGCTGCAGGCCAGAGCTCAGCTCAAAGACAGGAGGCAGTCAGGCAGCCGCAGTTGCATCTTTAGCAATCAATCACTTGTGTTAAGAAGGAGAAAAGGACCAAAAATAATCATGAGATCCTTTTTACTTGCACTTTCAGGATAGCAGATCTCTCGTATCCCTCAGGTTTAGGTCATATTTTAAAAAATTCTCCCCATTGCTCATAGTGTAAGTTAGTCCTGATGGGCTAAATACCAGAACCAAAGAATGAGCTAAATACCAGAGCTGGACCCAAGGCAGAAGCTCACCTGCAACGCCAAGCACAGCCTGGATGCAGTTGTTTCTTGGAGTAAGCTTGCCTGAGGGCCATCTCAGTGTTTCTGGATGTAGGCATGCCCTGTGCAAGGCACTCTCAGACCAGCTGGTAGAGTTTCCAGCAGAATGAATGCTTAAAAAGCAGTAAGAAAAAGACAGCAACAAAAAGACAGCTGGAGACCCACTGGTGCAGCAGCTGAGTGGACTGGGAAGCACACAGTGCAAACTTCATGGAACTCAAAGAGACATCCCCCTGTGCAAGTTCCTGGAAGCTGACAATACCCAGTGTTGAAGTCAAGCCAAGTGACTGCACTGACACACACACAGCCCACAGGACCACGGGCACTGCCCTCAAAAACAAGTGCTTGGCCACGACAGGACCCATGGTTGTTGCAGTAGCATGCTGCCCTGCTCGGCTGAGCTAATCCCCAACACTGGCAGGAGCTGAGCTGACAGCTACCCCTCTGCCAAGCTGACCTGCAGATCTGGCGGCTTACAGCCATCTCTTCCTCCAGTTTCAATACATCCTGCACAGATGTGTGTCAGAGGCATTAACACCTTTTTAAATGAGGCTGATCTGATGAGAACTGGATAGCGCCCTGGGCCTAAGCTGTTTATCCCTAACATGGAGGGTCACAGGCTCTGCTTGGGTCGGTGCTCACAGCCTGTGCCCAGGTGAGGGCAGGAACCAGCAGCTGGGGTTTGTGTAATCTGCAGGCTGGGCCTGACCACTCTGACCTTGACAGGAGCTTTTGTGGCAGCTCCTAGGAAAAGCTGAATAGAGGAGTGGGGGCCAGCAGTTCAAGGACTCTGCAAGCAGAGTCACCTCACTGCCTTGTGTAGGTGAGAGTGCTCGTGCTTAGCAGCAGTAGGAGGGGGAAAACAAAGCTTCACATCCCCTCTATAGGCTTCAAGAGTAGCAAGTGGAAGGGAGAGCTGGGCTCCTCAGTCCCAGCAGCTTTTCCTAGGAGGAAAGCTTATTTCCCCTCTCCAGCCACTCACCTACGGAAAAATGCTTCTCAGATGATAATGGGAATCGCACCAGACTAGGACTCATCTCCAGAGACCTTAATGTCAGAGCCAGGAACAATTATTGGACATGTCTGAAATCCACTGTTTTTCCACAAGGTTCAGCTCAGAACTTGACCTGCCCACATGGCTTAGAGCTGCTATTTCTATGAGCTCCATCTCACAGTGGTGAATAAAGTGACAGAGCCATGCCCTTGAGGCAAGCAACAACAGCACATTCTGGTTGCCCAGTAAACAGTGCAGGAGATTAAGTCAATGCAATAAAACTTCCAAAGGAAATTAATTTACAGCCCCATGCACAAGTGAGGCAGAACACAGCCGATTTCTGGTGGCCACATCCACACACAAAACCTGTGACCATCTGCTTCCATCTGCTCGGTCACTGGGCAGGCAGCTGAGAAGAGGATAAAGCTCAGAGCAAAGCAAAGCTTTCCTCTGAGCTGGGGACTGGCTCATTTTCAGCAAGAGTAGGAATTTAGACACTTGAGTGCAACATCAAACTATAGAGACAGAATCACAGATTCACAGAATTGTAGGAGTTGAAAGGAACCTGTAGAAAACATCGAGTCCAACTCCTCTGCAAAGCAGGCTCCCTACAGCAGGCTGCACAGGTAAACACAGAGACAGTTTCAGAGTTCCTTGTAAAACTATAATAAAGCAGCTCAGCTGAGCGCAGCATTGGCTGCAGCAGGAAAAGTCCTCATCAGGGCCAGAAATACAGAGTGGGACACAGCACCGGTGAAGACGACCATTCAGTCGGTCCTTTTCAGGATAGCCTGGACTGCCTTGAAACCGGATACCATAAACTCAGATTAAGTTCTGGAGAGTCTCACTGGCAGGGATGACATTCACATATACCTTGAAATATCATGAAGAAGATAGAAGGTTTTCCATTTTCCTCACAATCAGGTCATCAGCAGCAGCACAGTAAAGCCATGTGGCACAAAGAAGGTATCCATTTTTAGTTTGCACGTAATCTAGCATGAACAAAATCAGCTGTCCTTTAGGAACAAAATGATATTGCATCAAAACTGCTCCTGTTCTCCCATAGCTGACAATGCATCTTTCTCATTCACAGCAAAATTTAAAGACAGGGTTGAAATCCTGAGTAATATAGCCAAGGTCAAGACTGACTCTCAGGCTGGGCAAGGAACAAAACCAGAAGGTGAGTGCAAGAAAAGTCAATATCATTTGCTTTGTTTTGCAGTGAAATCCCACGCATTCACAGCATTGAGCACCCAGGGGCTGGCAAAGAAATACTACAGTATGACACAGATTTTTCTGTTATTGCTGGTCACAGGTGGCTGCTGTAATAATGCAGCAGAAATCAATCAATATACAATAACAGTGGGCAGTAAAAGCCATTCCTACAGGACAAGTAGCTCTTGGGGTAGAATTCAAACAGAAAGTACTTGGAAGTTGCTGTGCTGCTCATCTTTGGTAGATGTGTTCTTTAAACCAAAGTACTTTCCTTTTAGCCTAGAAATTTGGCACAGCTGCAGAACAGTACAGAAGATTCCTCCTCAGAGAAAAGCCACACTGATATTCTCTAAAACCACCTTTAGTGCCTGTACATCCTCCCTTTGAATAGTTCTTACTATTTCACAGCTGATAGACAGACTTTGAGTAGTTTGGAGGCAGCAGCTGGCCTATGCTACACCACAGACCTGTGCTGTTGGTGATTTGGAAAAAGAAAAAGCAAACAATAACAGTTGTGTGGAAGGTCCCACCTCCACAAGCACACTGCTGCAATGAGTCACCTGTGTACCTAACAACACTGAGCATCACCCATGAGAGTGAAAACAAACTTGAGGAAATATTAAGAAACAAATTCTCATGCAGACTACTGACACCACATTGACTTCATTGACCATGAACTTCCATTCTTTGACACCTTCCACAGAACTATCTGGCGCACGGACAGGGCTGTGCATCATCAATAGGTGCTGCCACTTTGGCTGAAAGTATTCCATGTCTACTCTTGTAAGACCTTGCTCCAGAAATCCCAAACACACATGAAAAAATGTTTCTGAAAAACTCCCTCTAAACTTGCTCCTTACTGGAGTTGTGAGAGACACTGGATCAACTTACCCAGCTCAGCATAAAATACCCTGTAATTCCCCAACCAGGTAGAATTCTGAGGATAATGTGACTAACACAGGTTAACATGAGAACAGCCCAGAGAACATTGCAGATTTTTTCCTGTATGCATCAGTACTTCTCTATTTGCATTTGAGTATGTATCAGATGACTGGGGATTAACGTCTGGTAGCACATAGCTGTCGTTTCTCAGAAGCCTCAAAGTGTTCCCTGGAGAGGGCTGTGCTCTACTAGAAACAAAGGGGAGTAAAGCTTTATATCCTTCTGGCTTTAGAGAACAGCTCTACTAAAGGCTTCAGAATCCAGACCGAAGCCAATAACAACCAGGCAGAGATCAGATAATTAGCATTCCCCTGTTACTGCGTATGTGCCTCTTAGAGCAGTTTCAGACCAATACCTCGATGCTCCTAAGACCACCGACAGCAGGTGGACCAGCTTCTACCTCCTTTTAAGAACAGTGATTCACAATAGGCAAGGATGACACACAGAAAGCATCAGCCATTGGCCTAGGCTTAACATGAAGTATTTCGTGTTTCTGGCGCAAACTAACTCACCCGCAGATAAAGGTGATCATGCTAACATGACTAAAATCACTGCCCCTTCTTACTCCTTTTTGCAGAAGAGAAGCAGGCACCACAGAAGCCCATCCAGGTAACTCCTGCCAGTGACTCTGAACCCAGCAAAGACAAACAGAAGGAGAACACACCACAGGATGGGCAGGTATTAAATAATGGATCATAGGCAATAAGAGTTCAGGGCTTCTGGGGTAAAACCCAGCATGTTTCTCATAATTAGCAACTTTAAGTAGACTGTGTGTGTAGTGATGAAGTAACATAAGGAGTTGTTTTAGAGGTTCAGGCTTATGACCGAAGACAACCTTGGCCTAAAACATGACACCAGCTGTTCCTGTATAATATTTTCTCCTCAGTTGACTCCAATGAGGTCAGAAGGCAACTCCAGGACAAGGGAAAGCGAGTCAGTCTGGTCATCAGCATGTTTTTGTGCTTTATTTCCCTCATCCCCCCTTCCAATTCTGTAATGTGGTTGTTTTGATGAGGAAAGATTGTCAAAGACAGCCAATCTTCTACTAGTGTTAAAACTTTAAGAGTTCATTCTAGTTGACTTATACAAAATAGTTAACAGGATCACAAGACAGGCACCTGCACCAAAATAGGGTAGACCTGGATTTTGTGCCAGAGTAACAAGATGCGGGCTCTGGCTGCCCTCAGCCACAGTACGGTCATGGGGAATAAGTGCTGCACAGCTCCTTGTGAGAGTGAAGCATATTGCTTTTTTTTTTTTTTCCTGACCTACAGCCCCCTTCAGACAGTGATAACTCAGAAGACAGCAGCTCTGACAGTGAGGATGACAGTGATGATGACAGCACAGATGATGAAGAAAACGATGAACCATTATCTCTTGAATGGCCAGAAACCAGGAAAAAACAAGCAATTTACCTCTTCCTCTTTCCCATTGTCTTCCCTCTGTGGAGCACGATACCTGATGTCAGAAACCCAGTAAGAATCCATTTTTCTTCTGCTACCATATTTGTATCTTTAGCTCATATTTGAGCTAAAGACTACTTAGTAAGAATCCCCCATTCTGTTTTTCCACGTCAAGAGTCTCATACATTAATTACTGTTAATGCTGCAGAGAGTAGAAAAGAAGCCCCAGCTGTAGCATAGTTCCAGAGACTTAATTAAAGTAATTAACAACTAGCAACAGTTGGTCATCTAATAAAGTGGTCAAAAAACCCACAAAGACCAAGTTCTATATCAAACAGTTGATTACAGCACTCCATGTGAACAGTTTTCATCGAGGATTGTTAACCTTCCTGAAACTTCATGTTTTTGTTTTCAAACTTGATTTTAACAGGATTCAAAAAAATTCTTTGTCATCACATTTTTCGGGTCCATCATCTGGATTGCAGCATTCTCTTACCTCATGGTGTGGTGGGCTCATCAGGTGAGGGATTTCTTTTCTGTCTGCAAACAAGATCATTTCAGAACAAGTAGATGTTAAGACAAGGAGCGGATTGTCGCTGGGGCATTTTACGTGATGAATTGCAGCTGCAGTCATCCATCAAAACAGTAGAAACTTTTTGTCAGAATCCAAAAGGGAATTCTCAGTTTCACTCTTTTTGATTTGACAAAAGGTTTTCTTCGAAAAACTTCTAAGGGAAGTTGCACATCAGTGAAAGGAAAAGTGCCATCAAAATTTACCTTAATACTTTCAATTGATAAATGAATCTATGTGGAACAAAATTACCCCTTACCTAATTACAGTTCCAGGATAACACAGGTTCTAGAAGCTGTGAAGTAATTTCAACTCCAACTGCCTTAATATGCACTTGGAGCCCCGGCAATAGAAGTTTGTACCTTGTAGATTCAGACCCACACTTCGTATCAAGTGGCTCATTGCACATCCACAACATAGTTAATTGCTAAGATTTTCCATGCAGAGCTGATGTTAAATTTGCAAAAGGAAAAATGAAATACATGCAGAAGAGGCAAATGTAGGACACAAGAACGTGTTAGGCTGTAACTGACTTCACCTTGCTTGGCCTTGGTAAAACTGTGATCAGATGATCACTGTGACGTATCATATGGAACAAATCTGAGGTTAACAATCTAACTTAACTAACTTAAATGTAGTTTTTCATCGTACACAACATGCTACCACAAATGAAAAGGGCTAAGGGAATGAAAAATATTTCAATTTGAATATGGCACAAAACCTAGAAGGCAGTGAGACTGCATTCTGTGCTCCAAAATGAACAGCCCTAATTTACTCTGTTGCTGTTCTATTAGGTTGGTGAAACAATTGGGATATCAGAGGAAATTATGGGGTTAACCATACTGGCAGCAGGAACGTCGATCCCTGACCTTATCACCAGTGTCATTGTTGCACGGAAAGGCTTAGGTGACATGGCTGTCTCCAGTTCTGTAGGCAGCAATATCTTCGATATCACTGTTGGGTGAGTATTAGTTCCATGCTGAAAGATGCAGTTCTTCCAAAAGACAAAACACGGTTTTTAAACTGAAGAAATGTTTCAGTTAATTTCATTTCATCTGCACCTAACTGAAGGACAGTCAGACCACCAGTTACACATATTTCTTTTTAGAAAATTTAACCAAACCAGGAAAGATAGATTTTAGCAACCCAGTGCAGAATGAATATGAAGTTGCACCTCATTCAAGGCATTGTTCTACAGCTTAAAATAACAGTGCACAGTATGAAACGGCACTATCGTCTTCCCTAAGTTCTGAGTCAACAGGAAACTGATTTTCTGGGACAAAATACTATTCCTCTTAGGCCAACACTGAAGATTTACAGGCTGAATACTCATCCGGTCACTCAGAGGCATTCAGATTCTCTGCAGCCAAGGCTCTGTATCTGCACCTGTATCTTTCATCAATAAAGCATCAGAACCTTCTCCTTTATGAGAGCGTACTGAGACACTTAATTCACAGTTATTATTTTGAAAACCCTTCTAGACTATTGTATCACATTATGATAGTACAAGCATTATCCAAATGCGATTTTTCCACACCAACAACATCAATTTTAGATTTATGCTGAGTTACACTGAATGCAGCTATGCATTTTTTCCTGTAAGAGTTTAGAAAAATTGCTTATTTATAATGCAGAAAATGAACTGCCTTCAAGCATTTATTTCAATTACTTTTCCTTTTCTTGCAGTTTGCCAGTTCCTTGGTTTCTATATTCAGTCTTCAACGGATTCAGTCCTGTTGCAGTCAGTAGTAATGGTTTGTTTTGTGCTATCGTTCTGCTTTTTCTCATGCTTCTATTTGTTATCATCTCAATTGCTTTATGTAAATGGAAAATGAACAAAATACTAGGGCTCACTATGTTTGCTCTCTACTTTGTATTTTTGATCATCAGTGTGATGTTAGAAGACAGGATAATATCATGCCCCGTATCTGTGTGACATCTGGGTGCTCCAATGTGTGTTAAGGCATACATCTAAAAATCAAAAGCAGTTCAAGGTAGCAACCCAAGTTATAACCAACTTCCTGAGATTAAAGTATCTTTGACATACTTAAAATAAAATAATCTCGAGTGGTTTGTCTGCTTCTACTGTTGCTGTTTTTCCTTAGGAAAAGAAAAAGATCAGGCACTGAAGGGGCCAGTACCAAACACTGTGCAGCTTCAGGCATTCCTGTAATGGTATGATACAGATACATTAGGTGTTCAGTGTGGCTGAGCTTATGTTAGTGGAACTGATTTTAAGCATAGAACCTTTATACACATTTTAGTAATACTTTCAGGATCACACAGATTTATGCAATCAACTGCTCAAACTCACTGAGATCAATGATCTTTAGTTGGTGGGAACAGAATCACACCTTCATGGCTTGCCCTTACAGAACTGTTCTGCTCCAAAGACCTGTATGGACACATTCTCCATCTCAGAAGTGAATTCCCTCAAATTGTATAAAAGCAGTAAGTGCTTCAGAGCACAACAGTTCCTGAGGCTTGTAGCTACTTTGTCATTACTTCCTTCTGCAGAGGTCATTTTCATCCTTTCAGTGAAAGCCACAATAAAGCATCTGATAAAACAACTGAGACTCTACACGTACATCTGAGACAGTGAATACAAAACATGTGATGCACACCTGAAGGGGTCCTTCTTGCTGGTCCTCTTAAGACTACTGGAGACATAACACTGAGCCTTTCAAGGAACAAGCAAAGCAGTAAAAGCTATTTCAGCATGCAGATGACAACAGGATTTGAGAGTTGCACAGCAGTCCTAAAAGAAGGCATACAGATAGAGTTCAAATTGTGATCTCATGCAGTATCATCAGTAAGCACAACTAATGCTAGCATATTACTTGGATTGACATGTAAAGAGAACGAGTGGATCTCCCTTAGAATGGTGCCACTTGTAAAAGCTAAACCAGAAACCAGACATGCTACAAGAGGGAGGTAAAGAAGAGTTGGCTCATCTCTGAAGCTCGCACACCACTCTTTCCAGCACTAACTCTTGCTGTTAGCACTGTCTTCTAGATGGTCACTATGGAAAATGCCACATCAACAATCGACAAACCCGAAATGTTTATTGTTAAAAATGCCTCCTGCCAGCAAAGAATGTAGCTGAGCTGCAGACACTTCTGTCATTCTAATCCAGCTAATAAAACGTTAATGAAAATAACCAGAAAGATTTTAAGATTTTTATTGACTCACTGTAAAACTCTTTTGGATGAGACAAAAAAATTTTGACGTTGTGAACACTGACTTGCATATTTTAAAGGAACTACAAACCGAAGCAAACGTACAACATACTGTATTTTTGGTAAATAAAAATTAAACATTACATATTTACAAATCTACAACCATTCATTTAAAAGTGCTGCTTGCAGACTAACAAAGTACCATTTTCAAATTGCAGTGAAATACTATCCAGAAATCCCCTTCTCTATTATTACTACTTGCATCTCCCGTTTTGCATATGAAGATTTCATATGCAGCAATTGCCTCTTCCTTGGGGTACAAATTGCTTAACTGGTCAGTGGAAGTCTAATCCATCAGGCTGTAAGTGTGCCAACAGCAAACTGCCTCAAAATGGGAACCAGCAGTGTCAGAGGAACAGCACCATTTCTATTCACATTTCACTATTTCATCTCCAATACTTATTCCAGTGGAACCATAAGTAAAGCAAAATATATATTGCACTGCAAATGTAAAACCTTTGTTTAAGGTTCTGACAGAAGCATTATTTTGTACACAAAAGGAGAAAATTCAGTTCATACAAAATTTTAAATTGAAAATATGTCTCAAATATTTATCCATCTTTGCTGTATTGGAAAATATACTCAAATTGCTTTTCTAATAAAGGACAGTGAGATTTGTAAACTGTTTCAATGTTGAACTGTACGAGGCCTAAAAATTATCCACTCATGGCCTGCATTTTGAACATCATTATGACATGAACGAGGATAACTTCCCCCTTAGGGTGTAATACTACTCCAGCTACATCTTCTGATAATGTTTCTACATGGGACTGACTTGCAACAGACTGTATAAAGCAATTCATTCAGTATAATGATTTCACTTGATGGAACACTACATGATATGCTAATTTAAAAAGCACACCCAAATAAAGCAATGCTTTGGGAGTGCCACTCTGAAGATGCAAGATTGTTCTAATGACGCACATACAAGTCCTCTTCACGTATAGACTCTTCTGATAATACTGACAGGACTGCTGACATCTGAATGAAGTGGCAAACTGGTTGGCTTTATAAACCTTAAAGACTGTTGGAAATACTTAAAACTAAGCTGGGACTAAAGGGAGGATGTGGGCCAAATTACAAGTGTTGCATCTATCCCTGCGCAGGCGCACGCAGCGTAACATCCTGTGACACGAGGGGCTGTTAGAGACAAGGCTCAGCTGCTCCTGCCAGACTGAAATAGAAAGTGTGAAGCTTGCTTCATAGCTCAGTACCTCTAACACAAAACAGCAGCTCTGGAAAAAGCACTTGCCTTCCTTCATGGCTTGAAGGTCCTACAAAACAGTGGCCGCCCCAGGTGGTGAATGATGTGGGAAACAGAACTGCAAAGAGCTTGGAGCACTACGCTGTACACATCACAAATAGGTATGAATCTATATACACTACTTTTACTTGGTAAATACAGTGTAGATACTGTACAGAGCAGAGCATACATGCACACTAACAGGTACTTATGATGAATATGTTATAAAATAATCTGCTATTTTTCACAATAGTTAAGAAGAACGAAGCGGGTACATGTTCACCCTACACTGATAGAATTTACAGTGTACTTGGGTGAAAGAGTAGCAATGGCTCATGCATGAGGAATATTTTACAAGTGTGACAGCATGAATGAGAGCTTCACAAACTGTTAAAATAAATTAAACATGAAAAATGTTGCTAAGTGTAACATTGCTAGCTCCACATCAGAGTGAGGGAAACTTCAAAACCCAAAACCCTCAGCTACACAGTTAGCAGCAGGACAGACAAGAGGAATTACCCAGTGACAGTTGTATCCAGCAAGATCGTGTTTACATGAAGATGCATCTTGCAATTAGCATCAGCATATACCTGCAGCTCTAAAAACTTTAAATCCTTTATCCTTAGGACAGCATTGTATTACTGTTTTACAGCGGACTGGGAAGAGGTTACAGAGAGCAGTACAGTAGCACTACTTCTCATTTAAGCCTCTAAGAGGCTCACTATTTATTTAGTAAATGTGAACTTTAAAGTTCATCTCCTTTCTAGCTACCTAATATTGCTGTTTTACTACGCTTGCAAACTAAAAAGATTTTTCTAAAAAAGATTCTGCTGGTAAGCAGACACATAAAGCCTATAATGTAATGGAACAAGTGGATATTTAGAAGCATTACAAAGGGAACAACCGATAAGAATCGGGGAACCATGAAGACTAAAGAAAACAAGGTGTTTGTTAAAGCCTTGCTTAATTTGGTTAGGGCATTTATAGGATTCAATGGCTTTTTTCCCACCCCCATATAGGACTTCTGATATTATCAATGTAGCCTGCTTTCTAGTGTGGAGCTGCTATGTGACTAAGAGTGAAATGTTTTTCGAACATTCTCAAACAAGAAAATGCACTCCAAAAGCCATGACTGCACCACAAGGACTGACATAGTGTTGTTCTTCATTGAGAAACAAAAAAGCTGTTTTGCTGTGAAACAAAGACGAGACATTCAAATTACATCTTACTATTCACAATATGCCTCACTAAGTTACACTCCCCGCATTTTCCCTGTAGCAAGGTTGTTTTACCTACTTCAGAAAAGTTAAAAGCTTTGGATTAGCATTATGCGCTCACCAGATTTAATGTGTTTCAAACACATCCACCAAGATACTGCATTTTTATGAAGAACTTGAATGCTGTCACTTGTTTTGTATAACATCCGTAATGAGGTCACGTAGCAAACGTCAACTGCTGAGATGCACTGACACCTTAAAATCATCTGTTGGACTCTTCAATATGCTACAGACTCTCTACGAAGCAGGGAGTGAGGGAAATGGGAGAGGAAGAGATTCCTACAGAGCGTTTTACAGAGATATATCAGTGTTAGTAGAGCTTTTCACCATACCTTCCTGCTGATTGCTGTGGTAATACGTTTTCCACGTGTGCATGAGAGAAATCCTGTATCTAGCATACTGTCTAGGTGAAGGTTTACGTTTTCTACTCTGCTTTAAAAAACAAATCACTCTTCAAAAGTAACTGCACAAGTTACTATAAATAGCAGTGTCCTGCAAAACAAATAAGCAATGTATTGCTTATGCAGCAAAGTCCATTTAAAATTCACTCCAGTAATTAAAAAAAATAAAAAAATATCAACTTACTATAAACAATTTAAAATATGTATAATACAACTTTGTATGCTCTTCATAACATCATGAATATTCTATGTAAACAATAAATTCTGAAGAATTTACTTAGCTCGGGTTAGTTTCAGTGCATTGTTTCTGCCCACCTGTTTTATATATATATTTTAATAAGGGAAATGTAATATGTTGTCCTAAGTTAGACAATTCTCTTTAGATTCTTCCTTTCTATACACTGATTTGCATAAAGGCTAGGGACAAGGAAATAATATTTGGCCCGTTTCTCACTCTGTCTATTGCCACAGTTGTAGACAAGCCCCATTTTTCCAAGGCCTGCTGCTGTGGTACATTCGTACATACATTCTCAAACACTGAAGACTGAGATGTTCCTTTTGACCGAAGTGGTTATTTTACACAGGTATGTCACTGCTTTTCATCTAGGTACATTTAAAGATATGGTTCTCCAAAGATCTTTCTGCATTCCATCACTCCAGTACTTGGTGGTCTATCACAGTTATGTGTATTCTTCACTTGATTAGCTGTCAGACGATCATAGGCCATTTTATACTCTCTGTCAAAAGCATCTGCAGAAACAGAAGAACAATCCCTACATATCTTGCTTGAAACCACA